CACACACACACACACACACACACACACACACACACACACACAGGTTTGTTTTTATATCCCTGTGGGGGCCGTGGATTGACATTCATTTTCTGGTCATTTTACAGCCTAACCCTGACCATTTCCCCTAAAACTAACCTAAACTCAATTCACACCTGGTCCTAAACCAAACCACCCACCGGAAATTACCATCCATACCTATGGGGACCCCACGATGCTGCCTTTTTCTGGAAAATGGTCCCCATGATGTATCAAAAACGTACCCACACACACACACACACACACAAACAAACTCAGGCAAAAATATAATTGCCTGCATTTATCTTTGGTATTGGACAATATTTACAAAAACTGGACACTTGAAATCTGCCTGAAGTGGTTGTAATTTAAACACTACAGCATGACGTCAGGTTGAGCTTACAGATTATGAAGGGTCACAATCTGGGACTTGTTTTGTGAAAAAAGGGGGTTGTTATGAGTTCGATAGATTAAAGCTCCATGACCTACTTGCAAAAAAAAAAAAAAAAAAGAAAAGAAAAGAAAATAATTCTTTACTGCTCATATGTAATTAAAACATTGAATGGGACAAAAATTAAAACTTATAATGTTATTATGGCAACGTGTAGCTAAATAATTCTAGAACATTATAAAGTAGATACTATGTTTCAGTTTTGATCTTAAATAGCTTTTAGAGAACCTGGAATGTGAACGAGTCCATCAAGCACGACACCATGGGGGCACATGTTAAAAACTGTCAGAGCAGATAATAAAAGTCTCTGAAAACAAGTCTGGGAATGAGTGCAGATTACAGGAGAACACCTGGGTTTGTTGGAAACATCAGATGTCCCAGCTGATCTGAGGGGAGCTATAAGAAGCTCCAGCCTCACCCTCAGCTCAGTGCTGGTGGAGGCTGAGCTGCAGAACTGTGTCTGTGCAGGGATGGCTCTGTGTGTGGAGTCCGAGGTCCGTCTGATCCATCAGAACCAGCACAAAGACTTGAATCTGGATCTGAAATCACTGTTTGGAGAACAGGACCCTGATAAAGGTGAGCCCAGTGTGGTCTTTATTATCACCAGACCAAAAAAAAAAAAAAAATTGAAAAATCTGATTTTATGTTCAGGACGCAATTTTTACTTTTTGCTCATTCTTCTTCTTTTAACTTTTTCTTTATTATTAATACTATTATACTTATTATTGTCACTTTTTCTTCTCCATCTTATTTGATTGCTCTTGTTTCTCCTGTGATTGTATTATATATACACCTTTAGTGATATACTTGGGGTTTTTTGTTTGTTTTGTTTTTCCTTTTTATTTGAAAACTTAAACTTTGAGTTCATCATCGTAATATTTTTGTGGTTCATTTCAAATTTGTCCGACCTTTAGATTTGTTATTATTATTATAGTATTTATTCATTTCATTTTAAAAAACAAAACAATACAAATCAAAACAAATGAAAGGCAGCAGAAGAAGAAAAAATCTTGATAACCGTGCCTATTTACAAAAAAATATATATTAATTTCAAACAATAATAAAACAAATAATAAAGCAAAACTAAAAATTCAACTCCTCAAACAGTAAGTCATACAAAAACAAATAAACAATTTCATATTTCTTTAACAATTTTGCGTAGATAATTTTTAAGGCAATAATTGATCCAATGCTTATATAATCATTTTTCATTTTTTACTTTTCTTTTGAACACATTTTGGGTATAAAAAAGGGGCAGATATTACAAGATTTATCCTTCTGCTGCTGCCTTTCATTTCATTTTGATTGTATGTTTTTTAACTTTGTTGATTTTGTATTATAAATGAAACGAATGAAACAAATTTTCCAGATTATTCCATAGTCTTATACCTTTTACGTTATTTGTGATGTAAGATGGTGCCAGGTCCTCTCTGGAGCCAGAAAAGTCGCTGGGTTTAATGGAGGGCCAGAGGAAGAGGAAGAGGACCATCTTCAGTCGAGCCCAGCTGTCTGAGCTGGAGCAAGCCTTTGCTGTGACCCCGTATCCAGACATCACTCTGAGAGAGAGGCTGGCCGTGCGCACACACCTGCCTGAGAGCAAGATACAGGTGAGCCTTAACCTGCAGCTCCCACAAAGCTGGTTAATGTCATAACATTTAGTAACTAAAGTATATATGTAAATTACAGATTATAAAGTGTTATTATCTTTTAGTTTTCCAACATGAAACTTTTTGTTCCAGATTGGTTTTAGAGGTTTTGGCATTCAGTTATAGCAGATGTCTGTTTCTTACTCTACCTTTATTTTTAAAGGAATGTCTGAAGGTTAAATAACTCCACAAAAGTAGAACAGATCTACTCCATAATTCACTGATATGATAAACATACAGTAAACTGGTAAAACAAGCCAAATGTTTGATTCTACATGATCAGTCTTGTTGTTTTCTACAGGTCTGGTTTCAGAACAGAAGAGCCAGAAGTATCAGGACTGATAGATTCCCCAAGTCAGCCAAGTCTGATGTGAGAGTTGTCGGCTTCACAGAACCCTCCACACACCCAGCCACCACTCTGGCAGACATGTTCAGGCAAGACCTGAACCCCTCCTGTGAAGAAGTGCCACACATTTACTCCGACTGGATCCAAATCTACAGCAACCCGGTATCTTCCACACAACCGCCGTCCTCATCCTCATCGCTCTACCAGCAGCCCACCCAAAAGCTGCCCAAGAACTGCTCCAAGCCTTCAGGCTCTTGTCTCTGGGAAGAAGAGCACCACAGGCAGCCACACGTGGCCCCAAAAATCAGCTGTTCTATTGCCGGTTCCTTTCCTCAGCCCACTAGCAAGCAGTGTCACCATCCTGCCTCAAACCAGTCCCACCAGGCCTTTACAAACTTCAAACCCCAGACCCTGACTCTGTCTGGGAACCATCAGCCCATGTATGGAGCCCACAGAGGAGGAGGGGGAGGGAACTGTTCAGTAGAGCAGGTAATCCCCTCCCATCCTCAGCCAGTGTACTGGGAGGCAACTCAGGGACAGCGCCACCAACACCATCATCACCACCCACAAATTGGACCACAGACCTCCATGGGATACATCTCAGATCTGATCTACAATGCTGCCATAGTTACCAATTTCCTAGAGTTCTGATGAGAACATTGAACGAGAAGCATGAACAAAATTAAGAGTCTGTTTGTTGCAACCAAAGCACTATTTCTGTCACACTCCTACGTTTATGTTTTGTGTTTGCAGTGTTGATTTTATCCTAAATAAGCCTGTGAACTTGTGAAGTTGTCATACTGTCTTTTTATTTGTTGTATTTTTATGTTTAATTTTTAATGTGTTTCAGGAAATAAATTAGCATTTTGTCACTCCATTGCTGAATGTAATATTTCCAGTTATTTAATAATGAAGTTTCAAAGTTTTCGGTTAGGGTAAATACAGTTTTGTTTTGTTCTTTTTAACGCAATTTAAACTATATTTGCCAAATTATGATTTAACAAGTTGCATTCAGTAAATAACTTGCAGAAGTAAAAAGCAAAGGATCAAAGATCAGAAATGTTCACCGTATGCCAAGGCTTGATTTACTGCTTTGTGTGTCTATAAACTCTGATGCACTGACATGACAATATCAGCCAATATCGATATTCTATATTATTATTACTGTCAGATAATGGACATATGCACAAATACACTTGTCTATTTTCGATACCATATAAAAACAACCAGACTGCTGCCATGGCTCTACCTCACTTATTCCTGGCTGTGCAGCGTCACTAACACTGATGATCAAACAGATCCCACTCAAACAACAAGTTCCCCTCCAGAAACAGGAAGGTAAAAATTGGGAAATCAATGTCAGACGTTAATATCGACCCAGTTCTACTTATTGGACCAAAATGATATTCTAAAACATGACCAACGTTGGCCAATAATTATGTTAATGCAGATATATTGTGCATTTTGATGAAGCACACATTTGTTTGCTTTAACTCACAGACTTTAATTCTGACTCTCCATGTGAAAGTTACAGCGTTTCAAAAATGATGGCGAGAAGGTCATTTTTGAGGCCTGGCCACGCCCCCTTAACAAGCTCGAAAACTCACCGTTTTGATCATTTTTAATCCCCCATGTCTTATCAGCATACTGACAGAGTTTGAAGCCGATAGGTCAAAATCCCTAGGAGGAGTTCGCAAAAGTTCGACATGAGCGAAAGTGAAACTGAATTAGACTGAATTTGATCTTTTTTTCAAAAATGTCTACAAATACATCAGATTTTATATTTAACAGATTGTTTATTTAGAAATGGGAGTAAAACATACTGAAACCCACCCAAGACATTTATTTTAATATGTCATGATCGTGGAACATTTATAATTTACCGTTGCTAACGATAATGTTGGTACAAATAAACATTTACCTATGTATATTTTCTACAATATTTAATTTACTGCAAATAACACTTTGTTTTATTTAGAATTCCATTTTTAAATACTGTATAATTGCTACTTTTAAATTTTTAAACGTAGTTTTCCAGAAGTAATCTATATTTGCTCATCTGTAACAACTATTTTGCAATGATATGTAAAACATTTTTCATCCAGGCTATCATTAATGCTCTATTTCTACTTCAATTATGATGTGAAAAAGGACTTCATCCTTTATCAGGTTGGAGATTCATCCATTAATCAACATTTCTACCAACAGGACCAGCAGGACTCCTTCTTACAATTTCACCTCTGCATCAATTAGGCAATTTTCAGGAACTGTAATTCGACTCATTTAGATGTCTTTATTCAAATTATTTTAACAGTTCTGCTTATTTCTTTGTCAGTAATTTTAGTTTTTGCCATTATTTCTTCTAGCTTCTCCTGACGTGTGATAATTTTATGCGTTTCTTCATTGAAAAGGTTGGTAGTACCAGGGCTCTTATCACAGCTCCTGACTCTGACCCCTCAGTTTCAGTCACCTGCTCTGCTGCTTTCAATCAATTTGAGCTACTGTCTCACTTTTAGAGGACGTGGTTGGCCGCATTAAGCCATCAGGTTCCGCCCATGATCCTGTCCCTCCACGATTTTTTAAAGATATTTTATCTAGCATAGGGCAGCCTGTTCTTGCAATTATGAATAGCTGTCTGTCGTCATGTGTGGTCCCTGCTAGCTTTAAACATGCAGTAGTGCAGCCACTGCTTAAAAAACCTGGCCTTGATCCCACAGTTCTGGCTAATTATCGACCTATTTCAAAGCTGCCTTTTCTTTCTAAGGTTTTAGAAAAAATTGTGTACTGTCAGCTGGCACAGTTTTTAKATGACAATGGCATTCTGGAGGTTTTTCAGTCAGGTTTCAAAACTCTTCATAGCACAGAATCTGCTTTAATTAGAGKTTTTAATGACATCCTTTCTGCATGTGATTCTGGTAACCATGTTGTTCTGATTTTACTTGACCTAACTGCTGCCTTTGATACAGTGGACCACGACATTTTAATATCGCGATTACACCACGTTGTTGGTATTGATGGCACTGTTCTTAAATGGTTTAGGTCTTATTTGGAGGAGAGAACATTTTCAGTGAAAATTAGTGACTCTGAATCATCTGCTGCTTCAATGCCTTATGGTGTCCCGCAGGGCTCAATTTTAGGCCCTCTGCTTTTCTCTCTTTATTTACTGCCTCTGGGTTCTGTCCTTAGGAAACATGGGATTTCTTTCCATTGTTATGCTGGTGATTGTCAGWTTTATTTGCCCATGAAGCAGAAGGATGTCCATTCCATCAAACATCTCCTGGCATGTCTAGGAGATATTAAAGCTTGGTTGGCCTTGAACTTCTTAAATTTTAATGAAAATAAAACAGAGGTGATGGTGTTTGGACCCAGTGGCTCCTGTGAGTCCTCCTCTGTGGACCTGGGACCCTTGGAGGTATATTTTAAACCTGTTATTACAGATCTTGGTTTTAAGGTGGACAGTGATTTTAAATTGGACAGCCAAATCAAAGTCGTGGTTAAGTCCAGCTTTTATAATTTAAGGCGATTGGCGTCAGTGAAATCTTTTCTTTCCAG